TAGGTCATCCAATCTATTCTTGGTGCCACATGCTCTGCATTCAACCTGTGCTCTATGAGTTGTGACTAAGAGTAACTACCAGAATTTTCCATCTCTTTGTTTGCAAACAAAGTGACTCAAATCATCCAGCAGTGCACATTTCTCTCTTTCCACATAAAAATAAACTCCACCTTTCTCAAAGACCCAAAAGGCAAAAACCAAAAAGCTTGCATTATAAATCTTTTCCCTCCTTTCTTTCTCTGACCCTTTCCCACTTCTCAAAGCTCCCTCTTTCAACAGGTTGAAGATAATAGCAATCCTAATTCTTCTATTTCCCACTATGGTATTTGGAGACTGTACATGTGAATCTGAGGACACAAAGAACAACAAAGAAGCTGCCATCCCTAAAACAAGGAATATGAAAACAAGGAAAAGTAACAAGGTGGTAGACAAGCCATTTAGGGATGTCTATGTTTTGTCTTTGTCTTTACTAACAACATCTTCTTCATGATCAAGGCCTTTGCAGCCGGCGTCATTCTTGCAACTGGGTTCATTCACATACTACCAGATGCATTTGACAACTTGATTACACCATGCCTCAAAGAAAACCCATGGGGAAATTTTCCCTTCACTGGTTTTGTTGCCATGCTGCCTGCCATTGGAAAACCGGGTACTATCAGAGGTCAAACATAAAGTCCAAACAAGTGAAGTGACAGTTCATGAATTGGAGACGGGTGATCATGTACATGGTCAAGCAGCAGATCATGTACATGGCCACACACATGCCACACAGAGTCATGCTCATGGCTCTGAAGAATTGATGTCATCAGAATTAATCAGGCACCATGTCATTTCGCAAGTAATATAAGGAACTTTACTGAGAAAAGCAAGCCTCTCATTACTATTTGTATTGTTTTCTGAAATTTTAGCTTCCTTGGTCATTTTGTAGGTCTTGGAGCTGGGTATCCTAGTGCACTCAGCTATAATTGGAATATCATTGGGTGCCTCCCAAAGCCCTGAAACAATAAAATAAAGCCTCTCATGGTGGCTCTGTCTATCCACCAATTCTTTGAGGGCATGGGACTTGGTGGCTGCATCTCCCAGGTTTGACTCCACAGCCTCTAGTAGGGACTAAGTAGGAAGAATAATAAGTATCATGATCTCAACTTACAGCTATAAAGCTCCTTCTCTACTGCCTTGCAGGCTAAATTCAAGTCTCGATCCGCAGCGATTATGGCGACATTTTTCTCCCTCACAACACAACCCCAGTAGTAGGGATTGCAATTGGTATTGGCATATCAACCGGTTACAATGGCAATTGTCCCACTGCTCTAATTGTTGAAGGGATTTTCAATGCTGCTGCAGCTGGGATATTAATTTACATGGCTCTCGTTGACCTACTGGCAGCAGATTTCATGAACCCCAGAATGCAAAGCAACATGAGGATCCAATCAGGAGCATATATTTCACTTCTTCTAGGGTCTGGCTGTATCTCTCTCTTAGCTAAGTGGGCATCAATTTTAAGCAGTATATAATTTTGGGCCACACAACAACAATAATTTCTTCTGTTTTTTGTGGGTTATAGGATTTTAACACTTGACATAACCAAATCTGCTCAAAATATAATTTATTTTCTTGATGTCATGCTTTAGATCCTTGGTGTCTCAGCCCTTACAACTTACCAAATGAACTTACAAAATGTACATTTTCAATTTAGGCCGAGGGAAGCAAACAAAGTTGTGCATGCTTTAGCCCAGAATGCTCTGAATTTAGTGTGTTTCAATCCATATAGAATTAGGAATTCTCTAAGTTCTTTTCTTATTAAAACACTCTCTAGAAAAAGAACCGCAGATAATGTTTAAGTTTGCACTCCTAGATCATGTGAATTGCCAAATCCTTATAGGATTAGAAGACCACATTTACGTAAGACAAGTTATTGTCTTACAAGTCATGAATCGGGAAACTTGAATAGGAGAATCAAGGAATTGAAATTGGATCAACTACTCCCTTAATTTATCTCATTCTTAAATTTTAAAAATCCACGAAATTTTTATTGAAATCATTCCAAAATAATGTGTTAGTAAATACAAGAGAAGCATGTTTTGGAATCATTCCTGATAAATAAACATGTTAAACTTCTGAAGCATCGACTTTTTTATTTCATTACATTACGAAATTAAACAAGCTAAACTTCTAAAGCACCAACTTTTTTACTCCATTAAATTGCAGACGTAACCTACTACATTTAACAATCCTTGGAGGGTATGAAGGCATATATGTGTTGACAATCAGCCTCCCTTTGATTAAACTTTACTTGATAGAGTTGAATTAAGGCTTAATGTCTTTTTTTTTGTTTTTTTGTTTTTTTATATGTTTGTTTTGTTTTTTTCTAATGCACCTTCTTGTTCGTGGTTATAACAAAATCCCTTTATCCTCTCCCACCAGCTCAGAGCTGGCAAAACTAAATCCACATAACAGTGTGAGAAAATTTGGGCAAAAATGGCGGCTTCCATACTGGCTCTCACTTCATCACTCTCTTCTCTCTCATTTTCGTCTCACGTAGCTCAGAACCCTAGCGTCGTCTCGTTTCCCAAATCCAGATCAGTGTCGTGTGGAACCCTTACGCGTACCCCTCGGCCGATCATCGCCTCTGCCTCGGTAGCTCCCCCAGAAGCTCTGCAGTCTGCGGACCTAAAAAAATACGTGAAATCGAGGCTTCCCGGTGGCTTTGCAGCTCAGACGATCATCGGCACTGGTCGTCGGAAATGCGCAATCGCTCGCGTTGTACTTCAGGAGGGCACTGGAAAAATCATAATAAATTATCGGGATGCCAAGGTCTTCTCTCTCTCCCCTTCTCTAAGTGTAGTTAGGGCTTCGAATTGGTTCCATATTCATCATCCGAATGCATAATTTTTTTATGCCTGTTTTACAATTGCTGGTACATCTTTACTTGTCTGGGTTTCATTTCATATATGCTGAAAATCAATGATTGATTGAGAATGCACAATGTCATGTCTGGAGCTTTTGAATTTCCGGCAGAAAAATAATGTGGTGAAAATCTCAGAGTTCTCAATTGCTTGTGGATTTGGTACTCCCTCTGTTGCATTACCTGGACGATAGAATACTATAGGCCTGGCTTGGTGGGGTAGTATTTAATCCAATACCAGGTTTGGTGTTCAAAATAAGCATGGATAGGATAATAGATAAGCCCATTATGTGCATTTTTGTAGGATATCTTATCCTATCAAGAATGGTGGGATACATAATCCTACTACTTCAACCCCTTGACCTTAGACCAAGACCCGGTGCAAACCCGGGACACTAGTGGCAATGAAGAATAAGAGACATGGTCACTGTATTCTTAAGTTTGATTGTCCTTCCAATCAGTGATAACATCTTTCTTTATTTGGAGGTGCAGCTGTGGGTAATTACCAATTACTCATCTCCTCCTATCTTTACCTCTTATGAAGAACATTAGAAATTGTTTTACTTTATTTAAGGATCTTGATGGTGAATGAAACAGTTATTTGAGTTGTTCATGAAAGCATACTATCATTTTTGGCTGTACAAGCAAGCACCAAAGTTACTAATGAAATTTTGTCTACTTTTGCCTGTGCAGGAGTATCTTCAAGGCAACCCACTGTGGCTGCAGTATCTCAAAGTACCGTTGGGTACTTTAGGATATGAAAGTAGCTATGATGTCTTCGTGAAGGCTCACGGTGGTGGGCTTTCTGGTCAGGCTCAGGCTATATCCCTCGGCATTGCTCGAGCACTGCTGAAGGTGAGTGAGGACCACAGAGTACCTCTGAGAAAGGAAGGGCTGCTGACCAGGGACTCCAGAGTGGTTGAAAGGAAGAAGGCGGGTCTCAAGAAAGCTCGCAAAGCTCCTCAGTTTTCCAAACGTTGATCTGCCTGCATTTTCTTTTGCTTTCTCATGACCTTGTCTAGTCTAGTCATGCAAAGATCCTACTTTTGCATATTAGACTAATTGGTTTTTGTAGTAAATTACTAACAAGTTGCATTTGGATATGCTGATGTAGATTTGAAGCAAGGAATTTGGATTTGATTATTTAAAAGAAAAAAAAGAAGTTGCATTTGGCTATGCCATGTTCCAGCCTTCAATTTTTAGCTATATATTGAAAAAAAGGACTTAAGTTGGTTTTAGTGGAATCATTTGCCCCCCCCAAAAGAAAACAATTCCACGTGAAAGATAACCCAAAATTTTCATGGAGTACTGGGAATTGGAAGCCGGCTACAAACCAAGAATCATGTCATAGAAGATACATCAAAATTCGACAACCAATATGAGACTATAATTTTCAAGTATTTCTATTAAAAAACCAGAAGAGTAAGAAAAAGGAACTCGCTGAAAAAATTGAAGATTATATACATGTTCCATTAATTTCAGACAAAGGTAAAAAATCAACAAGTACACATTTCCATTTCACAAGTGCATAGCCTGGACCTAATCTCAAATCTCCTTAATGTTTACATCGCTTTCCTTGCCATGAGCATTTTGGGAGGGGCTAGAGATCTCAATTCAGGTGCAGAACTAGGAAAAAGAGTGTTCAGTTTGTGCATGAGGATGTCAGACCTTGATGGAATCTCATTCAGAAGAAACTGTTGAACAATAGGCTTCTTAAACCACTCCATAACAGCGTCTCCCGGAGCCCTCAGCACCACTTTGCTAACCTCAAATGGAGATTCCACCGAGCTCAAAACCTGTGCGACCACAATCTTCAAAGTCGGTCCCGTGACCAATTTAATTCTCCTGGGGACAACACCATAATACAACATTCTTTTTCTGAACCTATGAAGAGTATGCACAACGGCTATTAGTGCAGCTCCAACTGATAAGTTCCTAACGTCCAGGGACCAAGCAATTTGCTGATCAAAAACTATCGCCTTCGGGAAAAGCTTATTCTCGTAGGCAACTTTCCAAACACATCGAGCTCGGTTTATCTGCCCCATAAGAACAAGGTAGTTGAGGAGAACATTAACAAAGTACTTAGCAGGCCCCTCTTCCAACTCATAATCAATACCTTGAAAAAATTCCCTCACAAAAGATAAGACTGGTTGTTTCCTCTGTTCTGGGCCCGTGAAGAGTCCACACATAAAAGCGTGTGCCTTATGTCTTGTGGCACCAAGTATTGACATCAAATGCCTCTCGTTCTCTTCTTCTTGGCATCTGACAAGATAGGCCAGAATGGATGTGTAAAGAATGAGGTCTACTTTTGCAGCAGCATTCACATATGTTTCTAGGAGAGGCTTTGCTGACTCATACAAACGACTCTTCATGCATGACTCGAACAACTGTCTGATTATAAAGTTATTTGTTCTAATCCCTGAGGAACCCATGAAACGTAGCCACCGCAAGGCGAGATCAACAGAACCATCCTTTATATACACCATCAAAACATCACTAGCACTCACATCAACAGAATATCCCATGGTCTTCATCTCTAGCAAAATTTTGGCAGCCACATCCACAAGCTTCTTATTAGCCAAGAGCATCAAAAGGGAGGTGTAAGTACTTAGACCTGGTCTTAAACCTGCATTGGTCATTGAGTTATACAGCTTCATAGCAGAATCTACTTGTCCCGAGGCAGCATGCATTTCTAATAGACACGAATATGTAGATGGAGTGGGTAGAAATCCAACCCTCTCCATATCTGTAAAGGTAGACATTGCAATATCAAGTTTTCCTGACTTTGCATGGGACTCAACAATCATTGTGTATAACCCAAAGTTAGGCCTAAAGCCTGCTTTCTTCATCTCATCCCAAAGCCTAAGGGCAGCATCTAATTTCCCAGCCTTCACATATGACTCAATCATAGAAACATACATGGGAGCAGATGGTCTGAAACCATAACCCTGCATTTCCATGTATACCTTCATTGACATGTCCAATCTCCCAGCTTTTCCCATTGAATCAACAAGCGATCCAAAGACATTAAAGCTGGGTTTAAAATTCCTTTCTTTCATTTCTTGGAAGAGCTTAAATGCAGCATCAAGGCGGCCCGATTTTGCCAAGTTTGGTACCATTAACTCATAGGTTGATCCATCCAATGAACAGTTTGCAGCTTGCATGCTCTCATATATCTCAAATGCCTTATAAGGTAAACCCTTATTCAAAAACAGGGTTATAAGCGAATTATATGTCTGAGTATCAACTTTGAAACCTGAATCTTGAATCTTCTTAAAGCAACAAAACGACACCTCCATTTTATCAGCTTTAGCCAAAAACTGAATGACACGGTTATATGCACTAGATGATAAAACCCCCTTATTACTTGAATCCTGCACCATCTCATCAAATAATGACTGAATTCCATCGAAGTCCTTACTTTGGTTTAGGCCATCAAACAATATCACATAACACTCATCACTTGGTAAATACCAAGGCTGCCTCTTAGCCCATCGAAACAACGTCGAAGCCCCATCACCATCTTTAATAACCTTCAAGGCTTGAGTAATGTGAGTCATGTTTGGAACAAACTGGAGTTTGTCCAATTGGGTCTCTAATTCAGGCCCCCATTTCCACCTCTTCACAACCTCAACAATCTTAGCAATCGCAGAGGCATTCAAAAAAGGCTTCTTCAACTCACCCACCATTACATGATCATCGAGCCCTGGCTGAACGGACCGTATACCTTTTCCAGTGTAAATTACACTGCCTGATTCATCCAAATACTCAATTTCCTCAGTCCACTCATCACTGTTCTTCCCAGAAGAGTATTCCGTATACCTTTTCCAGTGTAAATTACACTGCCTGATTCATCCAAATACTCAATTTCCTCAGTCCACTCATCACTGTTCTTCCCAGAAGAGTATTTTCTAATCAAACCAGGGCCTAAAGAAAATGGGGTTTCAACCAAATTTGCACTCGAAAACCCAGAGCTCCTCACAAAATTGGGTTTTTCTGGTACAGAAAATCTAGGAGAAATTAAATTGAATCCCGTTGTAGAGCTCCATAACCTGAAACTTCCTCCACAACCATTGAGTTCATTTGTACAGAGACTCCGTGAATTGAAATCGTGAAATGCAGAGCTGAAGGTAGGGGTTTTGGTGAGTCTACAAAAATTTATAGGGCACAGCTTCCTCCTATAAATCATTGAGTTCTGGTTATACAGAACTATGATTTTGGATCAAATTTGGGGTTTATAGAGGTTGAATGCTTACCTGACTGTTGAAAAAATGCCCCTCTTCACAGCAGAGCTTAAACCCTAGCTTTCAAGAACCAGCAGACTGAAGTGTCAATGGGCAGGCACCGTTACCGTACTGTGACGCAAAGAGCTGAAAGTCTCGTTTTAACACACCAGGTCACACCGTCAACATTTTCGTTTAACTTCCAAAATTTACCTTGGTAGTTTGTTGGTAACTTGGTAATGTTTATTTTTGTAGGGGTAAATCCTATTTTTACATCGTATACTGTATATGACAATGAGATTAGCAAAATACGTATAAAATGTGTATACGTGTAATAAGGTAAGTTTATGTGATTTTTTTAAAAAAAAGGATCTTATGAAAAACACAGTGTATTAAAGATTAGACCTTTTAAAATTGAAAGAAGCTCAACATTTAAAAAGGCCGTAATTTCGAGTTCTTCTCTCCATTGATATAAAGGATTGAGCTTGTGTTTGGATGATATAATGATTTATAGAGATTTGTGTTTATGATGAAGAGTTATAGCTTATGCAATTTGATTATGAGCATGTATAACAAGGACAATACTTAAGTGCATGGTCCATCTGGTTGTGATTAATGGATATTCACCATATATATGTCATAATCAAAACTATGCATTTTCTAAATCACAATTTAAAGATAATTTTTCAAAAAAATCAATCAAATTGGAGATCGTTTAGTAACCCACATGTATCGAACAAATCGATGATTTTGGTAACAACTTAAGAACTTCACGATGAACCTAAGTCAAGCTTCAAAATTGAACCAACAGTCAGCTTAAGTCGATCACACATAACATAGCACATGATTTTTGGGTGCATAAGTGAATACTTTCACTCACTTGAACTACAAGCTCATAACATATTGATTAACTAAGCTTTTGAATCTAATACTAGGTCGATTGGAAGCTACCCCGAATAAAAGAACATGGAGGGGGAGTTTGTTTCTAAAATCTAAAGGCTATGAGACCGCCTTTTTCTGCATGTTACATGTATGTGGTCGATCTACAAGTTCACTTAAGGAATATGGCATTGCCTTAATTTCTAGATTTGTCAAGAGCATTAGAACACTAAGCACCATTCATTCTGCAGAGATCCAATAGATTATAAGTAATCCTTGGTGGGGACATGGTGTTCAGAATAACCCCTTGGAGCAATTTGTTAAAGGCATTATGTTTCATAATCAAACCTGCAAATGTACTTTTAACTTGATGTTTCATAATTAGGACAAAGGCAATAACATGTTAAAGGCATTATATGTTTTGATAATCAAAGCCTGCACACATGTACTTTTAACTAAAGATGTAAAAATAATTTGGACAAAGCAAATCCAAGCGGGTATGCAATCGGAACAAAAATGATTGTCACAAGCATTCTTAGAGAACAGAAAAGAAAAAAAAAACCAGTTCTTGATTTGAATATCGCATATACACTTTGTATCTTGGTTTGGTTTTCCCCACTTAGAGAGAGAGAGAGAGAGGAGGAGAGAGAGAGCTTTGAGTAGAAAGCAAGCAACACAAAAGGGCAGAAAAAACCACACTTTCATTTTTTTCAAGATCAAGCAAGCATATATTCCATGGTTTTCTGCATGCAAAAATATTAATGAGGCAAAAAGATGTTTATGCAGGCTGTGACGGAACAATTCACCTTTCAATAAAATACACATTCTCTTAGACCCTTTTGACCCTTTTTGTATTTCTTCATTCACACATTTCTGGGCAAAGTGACTGAAAGTTGGACTGCTAAAGAATCAATCTTTATGGCCAACTTAATTAGCCAATTGTCTACCATTTGCCCTTTCTTGGGGGCAATTCTAGGGAGCTCCAAGGCTGCTTTGGCTAGCCTCTCTATATATTCAAAAGCTTCTTCTGCATGACTGCCTCTGCCTGCTTCTAGTCTTTGGGTTTTGTGGGAATAGGAGCAAAAGGAGAAGAAGAAACTTAACTTGGAGTTTTGGGTATTGTTGCAAGTCATGGCCACAAGCAAAGAGCGCACAAGAATTTGCATTCTTTTTCTCTATTTGACTCTGGCAACTATTTCCTTCTATCAATGTGGTAAGCCTCTTCTTTAAAGAATTTACAACCCGTCGCATTTAACCTATTTCGTTTTACTAATTAGATGCAGGAGACAATAAAGTTCATCAAATGGCATTGTAAGCCTCACTTGGAGATACTGAATTTTGCGATGATTTGAAGTTTAAAGTTTATCAAATGGCATTGTAAGCCTCACTTGGAGACACTGAATTTTGAGATGATTTGAAGTTTAGTTGATAAGCCTAAATGTTTTGGCAGAGGCAAGAAGATCAATGAGATTACTAAAAGCTGTTCCAAGTCCAGCACATCAGAGAAGTCTGTTTCTCAAAGCTGCAAAGAATTTGAATTTAATTAAGCAAATTGATTTTCCATTGGGGGGATCAAAGGAAATCCAGCCCTATGGTGTGAGCTCACCATTTACTTTGCCACCTTATGATTCATTGGCTCCAATTTCCTTGCCTGAAAATGCACCTCCTTATTGTACAACTGCACCCAATACCCCACAAACCCCAACTACAAATTTTACCCCGACTCCATCAATACCCTATCCACCAATCCTTCCTAATCAAAGCCCACCAGCAAGCCCAACTATCATTTTCCCAGGCCCACCAGAATCTATCTCCACTCCGAATCCACCCGTAACCTTCCCAAGCCCAACAATCATTATCCCAGGCCCACCCGAATCCATTCCTAATCCACCCGAAACTGTCCCAAGCCCAACTGTCATAGTCCCAAGCCCACCAGACTTTATACCTAGTCCCACTATCTATATCCCAAGCCCACCTGATTATGAGCCCAGCCCGCCAGCCCTTGTCCCGAACCCACCTTCTTCGGTGCCATCTCCTTTCGGGTTTCAGCCAAGCCCGCCGGTGTTCGAGCCTCCTATTATCTTCCCCCCACCAACCACGCCACCGACCCCGAAAAGAGGCCCAAAGGCGGCCCTGTGGTGCGTAGCTAAGCCGTCAGTGCCCGACCCAATCATTCAAGAAGCTATGAATTATGCTTGTGGATCGGGAGCAGATTGCGGGCCCATTCTGCCCAGTGGGCCGTGTTTTGAGCCCAACTCATTGTTTGCCCATGCTTCCTTTGCCTTCAATAGCTTCTGGCAAAGGACGAAGGTTGCTGGTGGCACTTGTGAGTTTGGAGGAACTGGCATGCTAGTCACTGTTGATCCAAGTAAGTTTATAAATCAATGGTGCATATCTTTCAAAACTATTATTATAGCCAGACAACAAAGAAACTTAGTATTTATTTATAAGCATTTTAGGTTATATAAATACTGATCCATTATCTTTGGTGATGTCTTCTTCCACAGGCTATGATGGGTGCCGCTTTGACTATTACTGATCAGAGGGGACAAGATCACAATCACAATGCAGATCTTTTTTCTTTTTTCTTTTTTCCTTTTCAATTTATCGACACGAAAGGTAAAAAAATTCGGTGTATGTGACCATAATTTGAACAGGAATTTTGTAAGTAAAAATTATGTAGGTTACTGGTTGCTCACTGATGAATGTAGATTTCAATAACTTTCCTGCTACAGATTGTAGGTCTTTTTTCTTTCTTTCTCTGCCTCTGCTGTGTATAAGCATTCCACCAGTACAACTAGAAAGAGAAACAGACGATCCATAATTTGGAGCAAAGCAAACCTTTTTTTTTTAGGTTGAAAGGCAAATGAATCAACTGATCACAATGGGCAAAGTATTTGCTTTGCCAAATCCAATATAAAAAAAAAAAAAGTGGTTTGCTTTTGCTGGTGCTAAAACAGTAGAAGGGATTATGTTCCTTATTGCTTCTTTTTTTTTTAAACAGTAGAAGGGATTATGTTCCTTATTGCCTTTTTTTTTTTTAAACAGTAAGTGCAGCAAGGAATAAGGGATTTGGAATATGTTTTATGTTGGTTTGTAACTTTAATTTTAATTTATTTCATGTCTTACTTAGATAAATTGGATTATTGGTATTTTTTTAATGACTTACTGAAGCAACCCGAATTGAACGTACAGTTAATCAACCGACCGGTTAAATGACTTAATGATTAATTAACGGAAGAGAAATTACTCTACCGAGAGATTTAGTGCGGTTAATGAAAGAGCTCTCTACCGTTCCAGACCCACCCGTGCCCACACTACATGTAAACTACCTACCATGACAAGGTTTATCTATTTATTAATATATATTATCCCAAGACTTGGAAACTCTTATACTAACGTGGCCATGTGGTTTATCTACTAGAAGATTAGTCTTATCTTATTTATTTTTCTATGGTGACCCACTTAAAATTAAACCACTTTCTTTACTCAAATTTATGCCATTATCAACCACTAACTCTCTCTCTCTCTCTCTCTCTCTCTCTCTCTCTCTCTCGCTTTAATTGTTATTTTGAGTTGTGGTTGTCCATTCTTCCCCCGATTCTAATCATTTTCTTGGTTATAAACAGCTTTCACAATATAATGAGGCGCAATTTCTGTGAATCAGAGCATCCCGACCCACTTGAAGGATCATGGTGGGATGGGCGGATCTACCCTATGGGCTACAGCCCACTGTAGCCCAGGGAGTTTTTTGGGGTTAAAAAAAAACCTATATATATATTAAATATAGTTCATTATGTAATCTATCTATATATATCTATATATATAAAGTAAAAGGCAGATAATGGTGAAACATTCAAAATACCAGAAAATGCCATTGGTTAATTTAAATATTAAGAATTGAAATTATTAATTAAATGAGGATAATATGGTAAATTCACAATTAAAAAAATTAAAATTAAAAATAAAATCAGATAATAAATCCTACTTTTGTGAAAAATAACTACCCATTTTTTATTTTCTTAATTCTAAAAACTGAAAAAGGAAAATCAATTGGCACACACGTGAGTGTGTGGCAAGGGGCTAGTATTTGATAACGTGAAAATAAATCACGTAAAAAAATCAAATTAGGTACTAATTCATTGTTTATCTAAATAGTACTAAATTATGATTTGGTTAGAATGAGATTCTCCTTCCTGACTTTACCAAAAAAAAAAAAAAAAAGAA